GCTCTCCACAGGTAAAACACCGTAATTAGGTCCGTGAAATCCATGTCCGCCATGTTCAGTTGAAACCAGCAAGCAGCAGAAGTTCCTCCTATTTGATGACGCGGCGAAGCGTTGCCGTTTGTTGCCATTTTCAACGCGGAGTTCACACGGAAGCGAGCAACAGCACACAAATGACGCGAAATGTTCGCAGAATCTGCGTTCGGTGTGAACGCACCATTAGGAAAAGGAAAAACAAAATATATACATTTCTGCTTTTATTTTTAATTTTGTCAGGATCGGTCCTCCATAAATGCAAGCGGCAGTTTTTTTATGTCTGTGCACCACCTGTGTAAAATCTCCCAGTCCATTAAATTGAACGCACCGATCTCCTTGGCAACCGCTCTGTTTTGGAGGTAGGCGCGCATGCGCTCTCGTGTACTGTATGTGAAAACTTTGGTTATAAGCGGTATTCTCGAGCTGTGCTGTGTTGTTCTAATTCAGCAAAATAACATGAAACACAACTAGTTACTCTCCCTTTGCTTTTAACTGGAGTATTTAGCAGCGAGCAGACAGACATTAAACGTAGCGGTGCTCGTTTTAAAGGCTGGCCGTTCATAAAAGCCTCCAGCTCCCAGGGGAGAGAAGCAAAGCAAGAGCATTGAGGATGACGGCTTCATAGCAGACAGCCGTTGTTCCGGTACTGCGTACCGGCGCAGAATCTTTTAGTGGTTCTCACTTTCACCCTTGCTTATGAGTGGGATCTGTCTGTCTGTTGACTTTCAAAATTGATTGTCAGCGCAGTAGTGTCAGACTTACAATGTGAATCATTTATTCAATAGAATAGAATTGCATGTTCTTGAAAAACTGTAATGCGGCCACGTTTAGCCTCAGGCACAACATGCTAATTCATAGTTCACTTGACATTTTTGAAACTTAAGAAGTCTCTGACATTTAACGAAGTTGTCTAAGAAGAAATTGCAGAATCGATTTTTATTGGCTGTGTAACATGACGTACCTCATACGTTACCTCAAGTCTGCTTCTGATTGGTTGATCAATCCTCTCATGACATCTCCTTCCCATGTTTGAGTTTCAAAACAAACCTTGGGTCATCACAGTTTTACCTGATTGGATCAGACCGAGCTGATCAACATTTCGAGCTCTGATTGGAGTAAATGTCTTTTTATTTGCTTTGTACATTACATTATGTTAATCTGTTCTTGTGTAAAGTTCCTGCTGGATTGTGTTTTGTGTTTTCTCCATGCAAACCATGGATGCGACGTTAGTTTAATCCAGTAAATTGATCAAGGCGAGGTTTTGCCCTTAATATCCGCAACCTAGTTTGTTGTGTCGAGAGTGGGGAATCTAGAGAGATCCCAGGAGAGGTGACCAGTACTGCGTGCCAGAACTAGAGTGACCTTTGGCAGACAGAACTGCTGTTTTTCTCTTTTAGGGTAAAGTACACAATATAACTTAGAAATAAACAGTACAACCAATTTCTATGGGCTTCTGACATACTAATAAACTCTTGATAAATTTGATTTAATTAGTTTGGATAATATTTTGAACAGTCACTAATTAATCATAAAAAAATCTTCACTCAGTTAATAGTGAATAGATCCTAATTTAATTAATAATAAATTTAATTTGTGATTATTTTGAATGTTAGCTCACGTTAATTCTCATAATCTTTAGGTGTTGCTGCTGAATACTTTTTAATCTTAAGAAATGTAAAAAAAAAAAAAAACTCATTGTGCTTCTTTTTATCTAATAGAGATTGCTCCCTGGAAAGGTTGGATTCATTCTGCAGATTGATCATGAAAGATTATGAGACTAGGCTTCTGAACACTAATATAATTCAAGTGGAATTTAAGCATTGATTAATGTCACTGTAAGATTAAAAGGAGTAACAGAAAAGACAAATAAGGAAAAAGTATTTCGATACAGTACACTGAATGAAACTAACAGGATAATGCTAGACTGTTTTAATTCACACAGCACAGCAAACACGCAGCACTTGCCACAAGATTTATTTCACATTACATAAATTTAACCAGGAAGATCTCATAAAGAGACCACATTTCTTTTGTTTGAAAGTCCTAATCATACATAGACTGAAAAAATACCAAGCTCAAAATAAACAATAATCACACCACCAGTAAAACACTCAAGATATATGAAACAAAATCCCGAATATTCCACACATTTATTTAAAATACATCTGTTACCCTGTTCTACTAATATATATATTTTTTTAATGTTCCAAACTACTGAGAGAGGCTAGTATTTCTAATTTAGGCATGTTTTGTAGATGATTCCAAACATAAGGTGCTTATTGTCGGAACGTGGTTATCTCCCCAATTGTTGCTTTAACAATGAACATTAAAATACAGACAGCCAACAGAAAATGTCAAATGGAGTGAATTTATTGGGGGCTTTTACAGTCATACTGATCACTCATTATGTCTTTACACTAGAGCCATATTCACCCAGTCGCAGTGACAAACACGCACATCTTAATACACCTATATGCAGATCAGTAGGCAGCTTAGGGCAAATTGCCTTTCTCAGGGGCACATCATTCTTGGGGAAAATATTCTGTGGATTGACGAGAAAAAAGTGGAACTTACTGGAAGGTGTGCATTCTGCTGCATCTGGTGTAAAGCTAAATTTCTGAGAAAAGAACTACCAGAAATTTTGTTGTGGAGAGAGATAATGATCCAAAACACACCACTGTAGTCCACCTCTGAATAGCTCAATAAAAAAAAATGTCCGCCCAACATACACAGCGGTTTTGAAGTGGTCTAGTTAAAGCCCGGACTTTAATCAGATTTTGATTTTGTAGCATGACATCAAGCAAGCTGGTAATGCTTGGAAGTCCTCCAATGTGTCTGGAATTAATCAAGTCTGCAAAGAAGAGAGTTGGTTAAAATTCTTCCACGGTGATATGAAAAACTCATTGCCAGTTCTTGTTGGTAGTTTCTGCTGCCAAGGGAGGCACAGCCAGTTATTAGGTTTATGATGTCATCAGTTTTTCACATAAGGCCAGTTAGCCTTGTATATGTATAGCCTTGTATAGCTTTTTCGCCTAATAAATGATATCATCATTTGAAAACTTTTTGCATTTACTAAGTTTATTTTTTTTATCTGGTTTTAAAATCAGTTTGAAGATCTGAAACATTTAAATGCAACAAAAAATCAAAAACAGAAGAAATCATATATTTTTGCATAGTAATGGATGTGTAGTCTTTTTATTAAGCTTTACTAAAGAATTTTGAAAAAGGTTGAACATGGATTAAAAAAATATTGCCACTTAATTGCCACTAAGGGTGATGTCATTGGATTAATAACTGTGTCGTCTGCATATAAGTGAAGCATAGCTGGAGCTAGACAAATTCCAGGATTCTGTATATAATTCATAGAAAAAAGAAATGGTACCAAAATTAACCCTTGAAGAACACCCAAGCTGACTTTATAAAAGAAGCCACAGTGTACAAGATCAAAGGCTTTAGTTACATTTAAAAAGAAAGAGCAGTACATTCTTTTTTTCCTAAAACAGTAATGCCGTTGTTTGTGACAAATGTAATGGCAGTTATTTTACTGTGGCCTTGTCTAAAGCTCGATTGTGACTAGCTTAAAATAAAAGATGTGTCACCTGTAAATTTACAAAAGATTAAAATATTTTAGCTGTAACTAAGATTCTTCACATAGAGTGATACAGTAACTGTTTAAAACATTAAGAAAACAAATTTAAAACCATTGCAGTCTTTGATGAGCTGGAAATGAACCCACTAAAACACAAAGATTAAAAACTGAGCCAAAAACTGCTGTTTGAAATGAACACGAGCTCAGCAAGATTTCAGTGAGGAAACTGAGAACAATGAACACTTCTCTAGGGACTGCATGGGCAGGGGTCATTCCTTTGAACTACATTTTCGAGGCAGAGGTAAACTGAGTTCTTGTATCCGAGTGGATGGGTTAGCAGAGCGAGCCGTCCAGCTAACCACATATGGGTCGTACCCCTCAAACAGTGATTTCCTCATTTTGGGACAGGACAGTTCACAAAGTCTCTGGCTGGCCACATGATTTCTAGCTGCTTTGGAAACTGGCCAGCATACTGGGCGCTCTCCCTCATACTTGGGGTGGTTATGCTTTGGAGCTGGAAAGACAAATGCAGTCAGTAACAAGCAGAACAATGGCAACAGCTGATCAAAAACATTGTTTGAAGGAAACTTCGACCCACTGGCTAGTAGCTCTATATGGGCAGATGTTCTCGAGGCCAACTGGGTCATAGGTCGAAGTTCAGATCTGAAGCTAGATACTGCTTGAATCTGCCGCCTCCTTGGCTGGGCAAGCTGGCAAATCCGGGAAGAGGCGACTGCTGTCTGTGTTCCTCTATTCAACTACAGAAAAGGTTGTATTAAAAACAAAAAAAGCACGACCTAGATAGAGCAGCTTGCATAAACTAAGTTGCTCGCTAAAAGTTCTACTGCCAGGACAAAGTGGAATCTTAAAATTTAAGATGGTACAATTATCTTCTTGTTGTAATTAAAATGGACTACTTTCATTGAAAAGTAACTTTTTTGCAATTTTTTTGTATACAGCGGATGGCATGGCCATCATATATATTCATTTATAGATAAGTACTATGCAGCAGTCTCTCCTTAATTATTTTTGTAAGATTCAACTGGAGAATGTTTCTGTACTACATACTTTTTTTTTTCGACATTTTTCGACACTGCTCAACAGTGCAGTTATGCAAAGTCATAGTTTTAGGTCATGTGACCTACATGTGTTACACAGCAAATGTGATGTTATGGATTCATAAATGTAATTATATTATTAGCTAGTAATTACATTTTTGGTTTTGTTACATTTAAAATGGCCAAATTGATTATGCTTTTGGCCGATAATGCATTAGTGGTTGCTACACAGGGCAAAGTTGTGCAAAGTGGAGACTCGAGTGGAGGTTCACCTTCTGGCAGGATATGACCCTAAACATACAGAATTAAAGTTGTAGAGGTGCCCATTGGCTCAGTGGTAGAGCAGATGCACCACATGCAGAGGCTATACTCCTCAAAGCAGTTGTCCCTGGTTCAGTTCCTGGCCATGGGCCAATTGCTGCATGTCTTCCCTCTTTTCTCTGCCCTTCCATTCAGCTACTAATGAATAAAGGCCATTAGTGCAACGAAAACCTTATAAAAAAAATCAAGGTGTAGTGAGCCCTGGAATATTAGGTTACTAAAGCTCAGATCCTGAAGAGAATATATTATCTATCAATGTACACAGGTATCCAGACCGATCAAACGACTGTCCATCCCTCCTTCCATCATCTTCTGCTTATCTGAAAGTGGCTTATAGAGGTAACAGATTCATAGAAAAACCCACGCTTTCCTCAAGTATGAGGCTCTGCAGTTTCTCATGGGACATCTCACAGCATTTCCATTACAGAAAGTATATGAACATAGTTACTCCAGCTAGCTTTAGATCTGACTCCGGGTTTTTTTCCCAGTAGGACATGCCTGGAAATTCTTAATTTCCATACTTTTCTAGTTTGTGTAGGAATCCTGATGTCTTGATCTCACTCCATCCTGCCTCCATTTGCAAGTAACTAAGGACACAAAGATATTTGAACTCGCCTGCCCAAAAGAGAGATCCAGAAATTGACATGTTGCTACTCACAGGTGCTGGCAGAGGGCGGCCAGGCTGCCACCCTTCTACAGGGGCTCGAGGTTGAGCCAATTTACACAACCGTTCAGATGGGACGGCCCTGAGAGCCCATTTGCTGACCTCCCATATGGGAGAGAGCCTGAGGCAGGAGATACAGGAGAGAACCGTGAAATAATATGAACTGAGACAAGAAAAGAAAGAGACTGTTTAATTTATTTTGTAGCAACATAAAAATGTATGAGGGAAAAAATTATAGAAAAGGGGGGGAGTTTAGATGAGACATACAAAATTAATTTTCTTGATTTGTTTATAGAGACGATCCGATAAACAGAATACTATATTAGAGATGTTTAGTGACATGGCACCTTTTCCAAAATGAGAGGTAAGAAATGTTTAGATAAGTATTAATCAGAAGAATGGTTCACACAAGCCAGGTTCATGCTTCAAACTAATATAATTACGGGACTTCAGTGTAGAAATCTTTACTTCTGGTCAAGTCTGACCAACGAGAAGTCAACTCTGTGAGAAGCAGGAGAAACCAAAAATATTACTGTATTATCACAAAGATCTTGTAATTTAATGGCAAAAAAGGGGAGAAAAAAGAAAATATACCAATTTGTGTGGTGGGTTCAGTCTTCTCCGGCGGGATTTTATCTAGCCAGTAAACAGAGCGACTGAAAAAAAAAAAGGCTTAAAAACTAAAAACAAGAGAGAACCTGTACAGCAGCAGCTGGTGGTGTCTCATTCCTACCGGTTCAGATCTTTCAGATGGTTGTGTTTAGGCTGAGAAAGTTGCGGAATTCGCGTTCCCATGACTAAAGTCTAAGCTGATGATACACACTTTGGAAAAATAGTAAAAACATACAGTTTTCTTGCAAAAGCATTTGCACCCATTGACATTTTTCACATATTTAATTTTACAACCCCATGGTTCAGTGTATTTCTTTGAGATTTTATGTGATAAACCAACAAAAAGTAGTGAGAGCATAGCGACATCAATTTATATTCAGTCCCCTTTAATCTGACAATAAATAAAACCTGGTGCAACCTTTTGCCTTCACATGTCACATAGTGAATAAATACCTTGTTTAATTTAGTTGAAAGTGTTGAAAATAACCTTTTAGCAGGTATTAGACATACTTTCATTAAGCCCACATTTCTTCAATACATCTTATCCAACAGCTGTATAAGCAGCAGTTGGATAAGAGGTTGGAGGTTCATTAAACAACATTAGTGAACACAGCAGACAGGTCAGTGATAAATTATAGAGACGTTTAAAGTAGGGTTAGGTTAGAAAATGGTACTCAAAGATTTGGGACATCGTCAAACCATTATCTGAAAATGGAAAGACTATGGGGGGCTGCAGGGTGGGGCCTTGGTTAGCACTGTTGTATTGCAACAAGCAGGTCCTGAAACTCATTTAAAGTTCAGTTTGCTACAAGACATGAAGGGGAAAAATGAACATGTGGGAGAAAGTGATCTGGTTAGATGAGACCGAAGTTGAACTTTCTGCCCTACAAACAGAATGTTATGTGTAGTGGAAAACTAACAACGCACAGTAAACGAACCATATTCAAGATGCCTTGTTAAGGCAAATCTGGAAGAAAAGTTATTATAGGCAGCAAAACAGTTAAGATTGGCATGGGTAGGACAACAACCCTAAGCACAGAGCTAGAACGGGTTTGTCAAAGTTCACACCACAACCCAAACAAGTCTGTGGAAAGACATGAAAATTAATGTGCATAGATGCTCTTGATCTAATCAGACAGAGCTTAAACTATTTTACAAAAAAAAAACATTAAGGGCCAAGCTTTAAAAAGCCATGTATTTTCCTTCCACACCCATAATGTGGTGCTTTTAATTGTTCTGACATTTAAAATTCTAATAAAGTACATTGAAGCTTGTGGTTATAATGTGACAAAAGTGGAAAAGCTCAGGGGGCATGAATTCAAAGAACAGTATGTAATAGGAACTGTCATACCACTCCTTTAAACTGCCCACAAGCTCTTTCAACAGCAAAATAAAAAATGTTGACATGATAGAATAAACAACCAATTATTAATTTTGCTTGCCCTCAGTGAATAAGATTTTATTTTGTATTTTGCAGTCATTACCTGGTCAGCCTCTGAAGTAGCTCTTTTGTATTGACGCCTGCTGGTTGCTATAGTATCAGGTGACAGCAGCCCAAAGATTGTCTATACTGAGGAGAGGTAAGACCATTTTGCTTTCTGTTGGCATTTAGCTAATTTCTTTCATTAATTAACTGCTTTTATTGTAGTACGGATGATACAGACATGTTTAATATCCCATGGTCTCATTACTTTTAAACCACAAGAACAGCATCTCCCCAGACTTACCTTTAGCTTTACTCCGATGTTTTCCTTTTTACAATATGTCAGGTTTTAGAAAATTAAATCATGCATGTATACCACAAGAAAAGAAAACAAATCCCAAAATGACATTAAACAGCACACAGAAAAGTGGAAAACACCTTTATTTTGAGCTTACATTTAGAATTGTATAAAAACAGTCCAGTAAATAAACTACCAAGCTTTTGAAGTGATCAGGACCACAAAGCCACAAGCTTTCTCTGTTGAACACTGTACTCATTATTCTCTAAACTAGTATTGCAGGAGTTTGATGTTAACAAGTCATATTAACCTGACACATTAAGATGATGAAACAAGAACACTGCAGGGTACATGGCTGCAACATCGCAGGACATTCACAAGAATCTGAACAACACAGAGCCCAAGGAAGAAAAGGAAGGCCAAGGCAACTGATGTAGTGTTTGGGTCATTTAGTAACAGAAACTTCAAGAACAATAATAGCGTTGTTTGTTGCTATAGAAACATTTTGGCTGTGGTTTTAGCCACCTAGATATCTGATGAAAACAAAAGAGAATAATGGAAGAAAAACAACCATGGTCTTGGGCACAAATTAAATTTACCCCCCCTCCAACAACCCCAAACTTTGTTTCCGTCTGAATCACGTTTGACTGCATGAAGGCAATACAGATCAAGCATTGTTAAATCTATTCTGCTTTAGCTTCTTGACATTAAAACAAATATTTTTTGGCAACATATAGAAAAGATGGCACCGAACAACCTCTTCAGGGCAGTGCTGGAAGGATCGCAGTGGAAAATTGCAAAGAAACAGGAGGAAGTGTGTAAATGTAGTGTTGACTTTACTTTCAGTAGCACCAGGAGAAACAGTAGCATGCGCATCAGTGTCAGAGGGTCTGCACAATGACGGGGTACAGCAGGGACATGTGCTCGGCTCCTCTGATTGGCAGCTTGTGTGTAGTGTAGTAGTGGATGACCTCGGGGATGGTGAAAAAAGGAGGACTGTTTTCACCGAGGACGTAATGATCGTCTGCGGACTGGGTGAACTTCATGTGCATGAAGCCTTTACAACTCCTGACACAAAGAAAAACAACACTGGTGAGTCCAACCTGATATTCCAAAGTCGACATTCACAGAAGCATAATAAGAGGGATGTCAGAAAATACATCAACCTTTTGTTGCACGCATAATGCCTGAAAGAAATATTCTGTCACACACTTGATCGATGGCAAGGGTTAGGACAGATGGTTCTGTTTAGTCTTAGAGAGATGGCTCCTCAGCCTTCTCCAGAGCGCTTATACGAGATATGATGTATGCCACAATGTGTAAGGATCAATTTCCAATGTCAACATTTCTAGGTGAAAATTACAACAGGTTTCACCTCATCTCCCCCAGCTGTGAGTCAGTGTCGTTTCAGAATCAACCGAGATGATCACAAGTCATTTTTCCAAGTCCAAGCCAAGTCTCAAATTTCAATTGGCTGAAATAAACATTCTTTCATTGAATGTAGGCTAGTCTGCCTTTCGCACTGCATTGCTGTAGGTTATGAATCCAAGTTGTGTACTAGAAAATTATTATGGCATAATAGTTTCTTATTAGAAATGCAGTCATGCTCAATGAATTAGAATATACCGATAAGTTCATTTATTTCAGTAACTCGGGTCAAAAACTATTTCCATCATGGGAGAAGAAGTGGAGGTGGTGGAGGAGTATAAATACCTCGGTGTTCACCTGGACAACAGACTGGAGTTGAGATGCAACTGTGAAGCTGTCTACATACCAGTGAAAGCCAAACATTGTTAGTATTTGAATGTTTGGACTAAAACTGTTTTATACCAGTGACCCAGCTACTCTACTTAGACTTCAGTGAGTGCCCATGACTGTTATTATTTGAATGATGGGACCACAACTGCCTCATACCAGTGACCTCGAGGATTAATATTATCATTTTTCTTCTAGCACAGGATGAATTCCTGACCACAGAGAATTTAATGAGCTAATTACCTCTATTAGAAAGATTGGATTAGAACCAGCTCTTACCAGTAAATCCCCAAGGATTATTAATGTCATTTGATTTGTTTTTCTGTGTTTGATTTTCTGTA